AATTAATTGTAAAAATTGATATTTTTCAAAAGCTGTCTAAAAATCCTCGAAAATTTCTGGTAAATACATTTCGACAGGCTAATTAGAAATACATGAAATGTTGATAGATGCGACAAAAAAAATTGCCGGCAAATTGGTATTTTTGAAAAGTTGCCTAAAAATCCTCATACAATTCTGGCAAATGTATTTTGACGAGCTGATTCGAAAAACATAATTAAGAATCAAGATTTGAAAGTGAATGTTTTGAAAAATATCGGAAAACGGTAAAAAATAATTTAAAAAATCAATGTTTTTGAAAAATGGCCAAAAAATTGTTAACAAAATTCTGGGAAATAGATGTATTTTCACGAGCTGATTCGAAAAACATAAAGCATCAATGGTCTTGGACCAAAAATTCTGGAAAAGATACTTCGATGAGATAATTTAAAAAATATAAAGTCTGAATGCTCCCGACCAAGATTTTCCAAAAATTCGATTTGAATATGAAATTTCGTAAATATAGCGAAATTTCAAAATATGGTTAAAAAATTAATTGAAAAATTGATATTTTTCAAAAGTTATCCAAAAATGTTTAGGAAATACATTTCGACGAGATGATTCGAAAAATTAATTTAAAATTAAGATTTTCGAAAATTTCATTAAAAATTCTGGGAAACACATTTTCAAGAAGAGCTGATTTGAAAAACGTAGAGTGTTAATAGTCCTGGACAGAAAATTTCGAAAAATGCGATTTGAAAATGGAATTCTTTAAATACATCGAAAGCTTGAAAAACGTTAAAAAAATCTCCGAACAATTGATATTGTTGAAACTTTGCTTAAAAATCTTACGGAAAACATAATTGCGCATCAAGATTTTCGAAAACTTAGATTTGAAAATGACATTTTTTTTTAATATCTCGAAATTTCCGAAAACCGTCGAAAAATTTATTGAAAAATTGATATTTCTCCAAAGTTGCTCAAAAAATCCTCAAAAATGTCTGGAAATTACATTTGGGCGAGTTGCCAGTAGTCCTGGATCAAGAATTTCAAAAAAATCGATTTTGAAGATGAAATTGTCTCAAATATGTATTTCAAAATTTTGCAACACTGTAAAAAATCATTGAAAAAGCGGGATTTTTGAAAAGTTGGGCAAAAATTCTTAAAACATTCTGGAATATACATTTAGATGAGCTAATTCGAAAAACATAAAGTCACCAACATTTTCGAAAAATTGAGTTTGACATTAAATTTTTTTTATATGTATCTCATATCGCGTAAAAAATCCATTGAAGCATAACATAAAGGCTCCGGGACTAAGAATTTCTAAAAATTCGATTTGAAAATAAAACCTAAATATTTCGAAATCTCGGAAAGTGGTAAAAAAATTTACTGAAAAACGAGGTTTTAGAAAAGTTGCCTAAAAATTAAAAATCTTAAAAAAATTCCGTAATATGGATCTCAAGAGTTGATTCAAAAAAACAAAGTGTTAATACTCCCCAACTAAGATTTTTGAAAAATAATCTAGGAAAAGACCAAAAAATTCATTGGAAAAATTGATACATAATTTTGAGAAGTTACCAAAAAATCGTCAAAAAATCTGAAAAATTTCAATGCTCACGGTTACAAAATTCATTGAAAAATTGATATTTTTTAAAAGTTTTCTAAAAAATCCTCAAAAATTTCTGGCAAATACGTTTCGACGAACTGATTAGAAAAACAAAGCGTTAATACTTAGTTACTGACCAAGATTTTCGAAAAATTCGATTAGAAGAAAATGGAATTGTTTAAATTCTCTAAAAGTCGTCAAACAATTTTGGGGAATGCATTTCGACGAGATGATTCTCAAAACATAATTGAGGATTAATATTTTCGAAAAATTTGATTTGAAAGTGAAATTTTTATGTTTTTTTTAATTCCGAAATCTCGGAAAATAATCCCCAAAAAATCCTTAAAAATAGATTTCGGCGAGCTGCCAAAAGTTCCGGATCAAAAATTTCAAAAAACTGGATTTGAAAATGAAATTGTCTTAAATATGTATCTCGAAATTTTGCAACGCTGTAAAAAAATTCAGTGAAAAAGCGGTGTTGGCGAAAAATCCTCAAAAAAATCTGGGATATAGATTTAGATGAGCTGATTCGAAAAACATAGAGTGTTAACAGCCACGAACCAAGATTTTCGAAAAATTAAGATTTACATTGAAATTTTTCATATATCTAAATATCTCGAAAAACTCCATTGAAAAACGGAAATTTTCCAATGGTTTCCAAAAAATCCTCCAAAAATTCTAGAAAATACATTTCGATGACCTAATTTGAAAAACATAAAGGACCAATGGTCTTTTTTAAGTATCTCGAAATATTGGAAAATAATCAAAAAATGCAATAAAAAATTGAGATTTTAGAAAAGTTGCCAAAAAATCCTAAAAAAATTCTGGGAAATACATTTCGTTGAGCTCATTCCAAAAACATAAGCGTGGATCAAGATTTCCGAAAAATTAGGTTTGAAAATGAAATCTTTTAAATACATCCAAATTTCCCAAAAATGGCCAAAAATTTCATTGAAAAAATTGATACTTTTGACAAGTAACCATAAAATCTTCCAAAATTCCTACGAAATAAGTATTCCGACCAGATAAATTAAAAAATATAAAGTTTTAATGCTCCCCGGCTAAGATTTTCCAAAAATTCGATTTGATCATGAAACCTCGAAACATGATTAAAAAATTCAGTGTAAAAATTGATGTTTTTCAAAAGCTGTCTAAAAATCCTCGAACATTTCTGGAAAATACATTTCGACAGGCTGATTAGGAATATATAGAATGTTAATAGATGCGGCAAAAAAATCGTTGAAAAATTGGTATTTTTCATAAGTTGCCCAAAAATCCTCATAGCATTCTGGGAAATATACTTCGACGAGCTGATTCGAAAAACATAATTGAGAATCGAGATTTGAAAGTGAATTTTTTGAAATATCCCGAAATCTCGGAAAATTGTAAAAAGATTATTAAAAAAAAACAATATTTTTGACAAATGGCGAAAAAGTTGTCATAAAATTCTGGGAAGGAAGTAGATGTATTAAAACGAGCTGATTCGGAAAACATAAAGTATCAATTGTCTTGGACCAAAAATTCTGGAAAAGATACTTCGATGAGATAATTTAAAAAATATAAGGTGTGAATGCTTCCCACCAAGATTTTCCATAAAGTCGATTTGAATGTGAAATTTCTTAAATACGAGTATATCGAAATTTCAAAACACGGTTAAAAAATATTTTTCAAAAGTTATCCAAAAATCTTCAAAAATGTTTGGGAAATATATAATAATTCGATTTGAAAGTGAAATTTTTATTTTTTTTTATATCCCGAAATCTCGGAAAATGGTCAAAAAGTTCATTAAAAATTCAACATTTTTGAAAAATTTCCGAAAGATTCTTTAAAAATTCTGGGAAGCACATTTTGATGAGCTGATTCGAAAAACATAGTGTCAATGGTCCTGAAAAATTCGATTTGAAAATGGTTAAAGAATTCCATTTTCAAAAACGTCTAAATTTTGAAAAACGTTAAAAAAACGAACAATTGATATTTTTGAAAGTTTGCTTAAAAAACGTCACGGAGAACATAATTACGCATCAAGATTTTCGAAAACTTCGATTTGAAAATGACATTTGTTAAATATCTGGAAATTTCCGAAAACAGTCGAAAAATTCATTGAAAAATTGATATTTCTTCTCTTCAAAGTTGCCCAAAAATTTTTCAAAAATTTCTAGAAAATACATTTGGGCGAGCTGTCAATAGTCCTGGATCAAGAATTTAAAAAAATCGATTTTGAAAATAAAATTGTCTTAAACATGTCTCGAAATTTCGCAATACTGTAAAAAAAATCATTGAAAAAGAAGCATGCTTGAAAACTTGACCAAAAATCCTCAAAAAATTTTGTGAAATAGATCTCAACGAACTGATTCCAAAAACAAAGTATTAAACAATTGACATTTTTGAAAGGTTGCTTAAAAAATCTCACGGAAAACATAATTGCGGATCAAGATTTTCGAAAAATTAGATTTGAAAATTCCATTTTTTAAATATCTCTCGAAGCCTCGGAAAACGGTCAAAAATATTCATAAAAAACTAATATTTTTCCACAGTTGCCCAAAAAATTCTCAACAAATTCTGGAAAATATATTTCGACGAGCTGTCAATAGTCCCAGATCAAGTATTTCAAAAAATTCGGTTTGAAAACGAAATTGTCTTAAACATATATCTCGAAATCTCACAACACAGTAAAAAATTCATTGAGGAAGCAGGATTTTTGAAAAGTCAAAAATTCTTAAAAAATTTTGAGATATAGATTTTGGGAATAAAACTTTTTAGATATATGGAGATCTTAAAAAACTGTCAAAAATTCATGGCCTACCCTAAACAAAAGATTTATGGATCACATGATATTTTTATTGAAAGAACCAGAATATCGTATCTTCACTATAGCAGCCACATATAAACAACCAATTAGTGAAAAATAAGAGTTATAATTTAGTTTTATTTTAGAAAATAGTTTCGTTACAAGGGAAAAATTATCTAACCGAGCGAATTTATATCTGATTTTATATCCTTTTTAGTAGTTTTTATATCTTTATAAATCACAGCCAAGAAAAATTTGAACAAATTCCTAAATATAGTATATTTATATTTTGTTAAAACGACCGACATGGGACAGTTCTGGCACTTGAAAGAATAATACGAAGCGAACTACTGGAGAATCCGTGAAAAATAATAATCAAAGAATCAGACTTCGAAATTCCACATTTGACATTTTTTTCAAAACCACATTTAAAAAATTACAAAATGAGAAATAATGTTACTCATACAAAAATCGAAATTTTCGCTTATGATAATGTAGAATTTCGGTGTTCATTTTGCCGCTATTAGACAGTCTCATTTCGTCCTCTATCCCGTAGTTCGTCCCGCATTGTCCCCAAGCTCCACTACGGCATATTTCATGAGAATAATTTGTACATTGTGGTCTTACCTATCATAACACGGGCCGGCACAGCGTTCCATTCTAACCAAAACGTGATAAACGATGACGTTACTAGTATAATTCCGGGTATGAATACTGTGGTGAAGTAGAACGCTCGATCCCGTGTAAATATTAGAGTAACCCCCAGGCAACTGTAGTTTCCTAAATTTTACAACAACTAAATTAAAACGGTTGTGGCACATTTGAACACTGCGAATGCGTTAAGTACACAAAGAGGTATTTAACGGCAAAGACGGCGGAAGTTAATTTGGGCCAAAAATATACACTAGGATCAACATTCTTTGCTCTTTTTTTACATTTATCAATATCTATACCTACGACTCGACTTTGTCAGCAAAATAAATATTTGTGGCAGCGATACGCCGTGCAGTAGACAGGATGCACAACTCAAAGTAGATGTGGACAGATACCTTTAAACTGTTTCTGACAGAGGTCACAATCCCGGCTCCCATTATCACCTCCTGCTACGTTGCCATCTTCGGCTGCAACACATACATTCAAACAATCTACTCATAATCAAGCCATGACCAAAGCTGCTAAGCTCATGACAGTCTTTTAGTCCGAAATGTCTAGATGTAACTGGAGATGTTGGATTACAACTAGTCTATGAACATATACATTTATCTACATGGAGTTGTGCATGTCTGCGCTTTCGTATTCTTACAAGAAAAACATCAAACAGCGAAAGCACAAGAAAATGGATGCGGCTCCAAGTTACTACGATGAATGTTACGGGCCGTAGCACGAACCCTAAGAAAACTGTCTAAGAAGGGTTTGTATCAGACTCAAACTTTTCAACTACTTACAAGTTAAAACGACTGCAACTGTAACACACTCATTATATTGCTCTGCAATGTAAAAATTACTTTTACAGTTTGTGTTTTTCAAAATAAATTGGTCTTCGTAAAAAAATCAAATATCACTAACCCATCTTTGCAAATATATCCTCTGCACTTGTAGTTCCGCTAATTTGACAAGGACATTCATTAACTTTGCTAACACAGACTCTAGAACATATTTGGTACTATTCTTTGCCCCCCAAAAAAAGAACAAACCTCTACATTATTTTAGATTCCATCATACTCCAAACTGGTTTCAATATTTTGTTGGAAAAATCGCCTCTTAAATTGATTTTCCTGTACTAGTGCTTTATGAGTCCGTGTTCAGCTTTTACCCTAGACGTTCAGATTTTTGGGAAAAAATCAAATTGTATAACATTTTACAATTTAAATTTGACATTGCTAAACTTAGTGCTCTGAAATCATGAATGTTTTAAGATTATAGAAAGGATTTTTTTGGTTTTATAATTTTCGAACATTGGATTCATCGAAATTTCGATTTTAGATTACTCGATTTTCGCTTTCTTGAGTTTTTTTTTCGATTTTTGGAATTTCTGATTTTCGGCTTTCCGATTTTCCTTTTCCAATTTGTGATTTTTCAAAAGTTTGATGTATGAAATTTTTGATTTTTCGATTTTCGATTTTTCGATATTCGAGTTTTCACTTTTTTTAATTTAGATTTGTCGGTTTTTCAATTCTTCCATTTTCTAACTTTTCAACTGTGCGCTTTTAAATTTTCTAAATTTAGATTTTTCGATTTTCGATATTTGGTTTTTTCTACATTTCGATTCCAGTTTTCGATTTTTCGAAATCTGGGTTTTCGAATTTTTGATTTTTCGGTTTTTCAATTTTTCAATTTTCGAATTTTCGGTTTTTGATTCTTTGGTTAAACGAATTTTCAAATTGTTTCCTTTTCGATGTCTCGTTTTTTCAATATTATAAATTTTCGATTTTACCAATTTTTGCTTTTTGGATTTTTAGAATTTTCGATTTTTCAGGTTGTACTTTCTACAGTTTTTAAACTTTAAAATTTTTATTTATGGGTTTTTTGAATTTTCAATTTTTCCATTCTTCAGTTTTTCGTTTTTTTACTTTTCGCTTTTTCGTGTCTCGATTTTTCAATTTTTCGACTTTCCAATTTTACGAATTTTCGATTTTTCCAATATTTGATTCATCCAATTTTCGATTTTTCAACTTTCGATAATTCGCTTTTTCTACATTTCGATATTTCGTTTATTCTACATTTCGATTGTTGGAGTTTTTAATTTTTCGAAATCTGGTTTTTTGAATTTTTGATTTTTTGCGTTTTCAATTTTTCTATTTTCGAATTTTTCCTTTTTCAATATTCGAATTTTCAAATTGTTTCCTTTCCGATTTCTTGATTTTTCAATTTTTTAGATTTTCGATTTCGCAAATTTTCTGTTTTTGAATTTTTAGAGTTTTCGATTTTCAGATTTGGATTTTTTAGTTTTTGGATTTTAGAACATTCTTCAGTTTTTAGATTTTTAAATTTTTTTAATTTTGGGTTTCTCGAATTTTCAGTTTTTCTATATTCTTCATTTTTTCGATTTTTAATTTTTTTTTACTTTTTGCTTTTTCAGTCCTCGATTTTTAAATTGTTCGACTTTCTGATTTTACGAATTTTCGTCTTTTTAGACTTTCGATATTTCGTTGTTTATAAATTTCGATTCTTGGAGTTTTCGATTTTTCGAAATCTGGCTTATCGAATTTTTCTATTTTCGAATTTTCGGATTTTCGGTTCTGATTCATCGAATGTTCGATTTTTCAATATGCGATTATTCGACTTTGGATATTTCGCTTTTTCAAAGTCTCGATTTTTGAATTTTTTATTTTTCGATTTTTAGATTTTCGAATTTTGCTTTTCCGATTTTTCGATTGTCCGATATTCGAGTTTTCAAATTGTTTCCATTTCGATTTCTAAATTTTTCAATTTTTAAATTTTAAAATTTGCGAATTTTTGGTTTTTGTATTTTTAGAATTTTTGATTTTTCAGTTTGTACATTCTTCATTTTTTTTTAATTTTTGGTGTCTCGATTTTTTAATTTTTCCATTATTCAGTTTTTAGATTTTCCAATTTTTTAATTTTCCTTTTTTCATTTCTCGGTTTTTCTATTTTCGACTCCCCGATTTTCGTTTTTTCAGTTTTTGATTTTTCGAATATTTGGTTCTTTGAATTTTTGTTTTTTCAACTTTTGATATTTCATATTTACCATTTTCTAAATTTTCGATTTTCGAAATTTCAAATTTTCGATATTCTGTTTTAATTTTTTTAATTTCAAATTCTCGATTTTTCAATTTTTCCATTTTTTGATTTTTCGAATTTAGATATTTTAGATTATTCGACGTTGGATATTCCGTTCCCATTTTTTTAATTTTCCGTTTCTCGAATTTTTAATTTTTCCATTGTTGAGTTTTTCAATTCTCCAATTTTTTTGATTTTCGTTTTTACATTTCTCGATTTTTCAATTTTCGACTTTCCGATTTTACGAATTTTCGTTTCTTCGATTTCCGATTTTTCAAATTTTCCATTTTCGAAATTTCGAATTTTCAATTTTTTTTCTCTTCAAATTCTCGAAATTTTAATAGATATTCGAACTGTCAATTTTTAGATTTTCAATTTTTTCGAATATTCGATTTTTAGAATTTTTTACTTTTCAGTTTGTACATTCTTCAGTTTTTGGATTTTTAGAATTTTTGAATTTTCAGTTTATACATTCTTCAGTTTTTAGACTTTTAAATTTTTTTACTTTTTGGTTTCTCGAATTTTTAATTTTTCCATTTTTCAGTTTTTCGATTTTTCAATTTGTTTACTTTTCACTTTTCATTTTTCGATTTTTCAATTTTTCGGCTTTCCGATCTTACGAATTTTCGTTTTTCCATTTTCGGTTTTCCGATTTTTCGACATTCGAATTGTCAAATGGTTTCCTTCCCGATTTATCGATTTTTCAATTTTTAGATTTTCAATTTTTTCGAATTTTAGGTTTTTCGATTTTTACAATTTTTCAGTTTGTATATTCTTCAATTTTTAGACTTTTAATATTTTTACTTTTCGGTTTCTCGAATTTTTAATTTTTCCATTGTTGAGTTTTTCGATTTTCCAATTTTTTTTGGTTGCTTTTTTTCATTTCTCGATTTTTCAATTCGACTTTCCGATTTTACGAATTTTCGTTTTTTCGATTTCCGATTTTTCGATATTCGAATTGTCAAATGGTTTCCTTTCCGATTTCTCGATTTTTCAATTTTGAGATATTCAATTTTTCCGAATTTCCGATTTTTCAAATTTTCCATTTTCGAAATTTCGAATTTTCAATTTTTCAATATTCTAACTTTCAATTTTTTCTTTCAAATTTTCGATATTTCAATTTTTCATTTTTTCATTTTCGGTTTTCCGATTTATTCGATATTCGAATTGTCAAATGGTTTCCTTTCCGATTTCTCGATTTTTCAATTTTTAGATTTTCAATTTTTTCGAATTTTCGATTTTTCGATTTTTAGAATTTTTGACTTTTCAGTTCGTACATTCTTCAGTTTTTGGACTTTTAGAATTTTTGAATTTTCAATTTATACATTCTTCAGTTTTTAGACTTTTAAATTTTTTTACTTTTCGGTTTCTCGAATTTTTAGTTTTTCCATTTTTCAGTTTTTGGATTTTCCAGTTTGTTTACTTTTCACTTTTCATTTTTCGATTTTTCAATTTCTCGACCTTCCGATTTCACGAAATTTCGTTTTTCAATTTTCGATTTTTCGAACATTTGATTCATCGAATTTTTGATTTTTCAACTTTCGATTTTTCAATTTTTTTATTTTCGAAATTTGGAACTTTGGATTTTTCCATATCCTAATTTTCAATTCTTTAAATTTCAAAATCTCCATTTTTCCATTTTTTGATTTTTCGATTTTAGAATTTTCGATTATTCCACTTTGGATATTTTATTTCTTGGATTTTACGGTTCTTCCAAATCTTGATTTTCGAATTTTTGATTTTTCGATATTCGAATTTTCAACTTTTCCATTCTTAAATTTTTAGATTTTTCAAATTTTTTACTTTTCGATTTCTTGATTTTTCAATTTTAACATTCTTCAATTTTTTTATTTCTCGATTTCTCGAATTTTCATCTTTTCCATTCTTCAGTTCCCCGATTTCTTGATTTTTGGAATTCACAATTTTCCGAGTTTTTGATGGCCATTGGATTTTCGACAAATTTTTTTAGTAATGGAAGATTTCACAAAAAAATTGAAAAAAAATGGCTAAAAAATTCTCTGTACCAAACTTCTGAAAATATTGAACACAAAGTTGGGAGAATAATCTTCGTAATATTGAACTTCGATATAATGAAAGAAAAAGAACAAAAAATAGAGTAAGATATAGTAAAAATACAGGTGGTTATATTTGAAAAAACTGAAATATAGATATTTGAAAACTCAAAAATTCATTTTTTTGATTTTAAAAATACCGTTTTTGCGATTATTTATTTATGAACCTTTGCATTGTCAAAAAATTAAAAATTGGAATAACGTGGCAACGTTGCATCGGTATTTTTAAAATAAGCCTAGGAAGAAGCTATTCTATTAAAATAAAAAAATAAATAAGTTGTATGCTATACATTGAAAACACAACACTCTGTATAGTTGAAATTAATTTAATATATGTTCAAAAAGCCGTACAACCTTGGTATAATTTTTTTTTGACTCATCCTGTATAAAAATGATGTCATCTTGAAATTTTGTATAGTAAATCCTATTTAAATTTGATAAATTTTTTCTAATTTTTTTGAAAATGTTTCAAAACTGTACAAATTTTATAATTTATTTAAGAAATTAGATGTTTGTTTGTGCTTCAGGGACGAGGGAAGCTCTTTCTAAATAATATTAGATCAACATTTTAAATGATGTGGTGTGCTTTGAAGTTGGAATTTTTAAATTTATATTAATGACTCTTTTTCAAAATTGGCTTTGAAATCATCGAGAGATGTTGTATCTAAATCCATTATTGTCCAAAATAGCTATTTCTTAAGGCTCAATTTTGAATGCTCTTAAAGCGGTTTATTACTTGAAACTTAATTCCAGAACAGAGAATCTGCTAAATCAACAGAACTACATGTGAAGAGAAACCTGTTTGTGATATTTTCAATAATCGGATTTTAAGTCCTATTAGCAAGAAAAACCATAGGAAAAAATGAAAAAAAATATAGTTCTTTTAAATTCAAACGTTGAGAGTTTTTTAAAGCTGGGTTCAGATTTGTTTTTCTATAATTTTAAACTGAAGGCTATCGATATAGTTCGAATTAAGCAAAAAATACGTTTTTTTTTTAAATTGTAATCCCCCAAAAGCCAGTTCGAAAATTGAGCACCTCGGATCGTTTTTGGTTAAATTTTTTAGTAGTGCCTTAGCAAACACCCATTTTATCAAAACTGTCTGTCATGAACTAGTAACGAAACACTAATAAAATACTGATCATAGTATTTTTGACTGCTCGGTAGTTTCAGCAACGAACAGTGATCTTTGACCAAACTGTAAAAATAACTTTCACTCGAAAAAACTGTAAAAATTTCCCTAGAGTTCGTGCAAAGACCCCATCGATGACAGCAAAAGTGTTATGCCGAACAGCAACATCCCAAGAAAACACCACTCGTTCGCTTACCCCTCCAATTATTGTTAGAGTTACACTCCAAAGTTTGATTTTTAATTAAATACGCATTGAGTGTAGCCAAACTGGACGATTTTTTTAACACGTCTTCGTTTTCGTCCTTCCATTTGTACTTGATATTCTTCATTTCGTAAGAAACTGCAATCACTAGATTTAGCCAACGCTCAACAACCACCTACTTCAGCACGTACTACTCTCCAAAGAAAATTTACACTCTGGATCATCGAAGGGGAAAATGTTTAAGTGGCCTTGACAGGATAAAATGAGGTGTCGCCTGAAATTTGGGCATGTGAATTCGGCCGAAAGGGCGTTCGAGGGACCGGTCGGATTTACGTACCGCATTGAATAAAAAACTGTTCCGTTGCGATAAATTCGTAGAGAAAAGTGCATAGGTATCAGGGGATCTTTGAAGTCGCCGTGCATGATGAAATATGTGTCTGGTAACCAAATGTCATTGTGATGGTGGATGGCGTTGAGGAAATCGTATTGACTCTGGTTTGAATATTTCAGACGGGGATCGAACCATTGTTGCTGCAGGAGGAACTCTACTTCGTATTTCTAGAAAGAGATTAATAATTTCTGTCAGGTATTTGTGTTTGCTTTCGAGTTACTTTATTATTGTAATGAGTGCGGGTTGGAGTTATTGTTACGTTCTGGAATAATTTATTGTATCTTATTAAACTTTGCGTAGAAGTAATGCATTCAGTTTATCAGTGACTGCACGAAGGTAAATATCGCGGTTTTTAGTAATTTTCTGCTGACATGTACAGAATGTCTCATTTTTCAAGAATATGGATGAAATTTTATTCTAAAAGTACAAAGTTTTAGCATTATTAAGACAGGTAATATTTTATCAAGCCAATATACATTTTTAGGAGATGTAGATAAAAATTATTCCGCTTTCGTTGATATTTAAGGTCTGGTCAGGTTAGGTCACCTAGGGTTAGGTCAGGTCAGAACAGACTCAAAAAGGCAGGCATACTAAGACTTTTAGATTTTTAAGAGATCTTAGGTTTAATTTTCTTTGACATTTAATAAATGGTTTAATAATCAGGTCAGGCCCGGTTAAGTCAGGTCAGTTCGAATCAGGTCTGGTCAGAAAAAATGGAAAAGATTGATAGATTTCAGGTTTTTTTTCAGATTTTCTCACGACGAATAAAAAAATCGTCACAGCTGAGAAAAGGCGGGTGGGCGGGGCTTACATTTTGCCTTTTTTTCTTAATATGTGTAGTCATCTTTTCACAACAAGAAACTTAAAACATCTTTAAATTGGTAAATTTGTATAGGAAGACTGATTTTACAATTAAGCTCCTCCCCACGGCGGACGGCGAATGAAAAAATCGTCAGAATTGAGACGGGGAGGGTGGGCGGGGCCCATATTTTGCCGTTTTTTCAAAATACACATAGCCATCTTTTCACAACAAGAAACTTAAAACATGGTTAAAATAGTACATTTTTGCAAGGAAATATGGATTTTGCAATTATGGGGCGGAACCTAATTGCAAAATTGATATTTCCTTATACAAATTTTCCATTTTAAACATGTTTTAAGTTTCATGTTGTAAAAAGAAATCTACACATATTAAAACCAAAAGGCAAACTGTAAGCCCGCCCACCCACCCTGTCTCAATTGTGACGAATTTTTTTTCGCTGTGAATCAAGAGGGCGGAGATTAACTGCAAAATGCTTATTTCTGTACAAGAAATTAAAAACATGTTTTCGACTATCGTGTTATCCAAAGAATACATAAGAAAAAAAGGAAAAAACAACAAAAAAAGTAAGAGAAAAAGAAAGGAAACAAATAAGCTACAAAATGGGGATAAAAAAGACGACAAAAAAGAGGAAAAGCGACAAAATGGACTTAAAAAATTAATACACATACAAAAAAATATGGCAAAAATGACGTACTAAGGAGCGAAAAAAGCTGATGAAACTGTGAACAAACAAAATGACGACAGAACAAAAAAGGCCACCAAAAAAGTCGAAAAAACTCGACAAAAAAAAAAGTAAAAAAAACGTTACTAAAAACGATAAAAATGGCAAAAAACCAACAAAAGAAAGTAACAAAAAAAAAACGAGAAAAAGGCAACAGAAAGTAAGGTAAAAAATCAACCAAAAAAACGTTTCAAACAATCTAATAGAAACTCGAATTAAAAATGTAACACAAAAAGTCAAAATAAAAAAGGCGACAAAAAATGAGGTTAAAATTCTATCAGAAAAAAGCATCAAAAGGACCAAAACAGACTTTTTTGTCTGTTTTGGTCTTTTTTGGACAAAAAAATAAAAAAGTGAAAAAAGCGACAAAGAAACAAAAAAAAGACGGCAGAAAAAAGCCCAAAAGAGAAAAAAAGCGACATTAAAAAAGATAAAAACGATAAAAAACAAAAAAAAGGATGCAAAAAAAATGCGACAAATAAGACAACAAAAAATTGGAGAAAAAAAGACGACTAACTTAAAGCATCAGAAAAACGATAAAAGAAAACAAAAGTAAAACACGAGGAAAAAGGCAGCAAAAAATAAAACAAAAAGATGCAAAAAGATGATAAAACAACGCGACAAAAAGTGTCATAAAAAACGATATAGAAACGACAAAAAAAACAACAAACAAAAATAACAAAAAAATCGAGAAATAATGCGACAAAACAAGGCCACACAAAAATTGGAAAAAAATTCTAATAAAGAAAAAACTGACTTAAGAGCGTCAGAAAAGCGATAAAAAACCAATAACCAAATTGTAGAAACAGAAAACAATAAGAAAGTGGGGACAAAAAAAGGCGCCAAATAAGAAAAACATGGCGACAAGAAATACGAGAAAACCATTAAAAGGACCAAAACAGACAAAAAGTAAAAAAAAATAAAAAAACCTGAAAAAAAGGTGTTAAAAAATGAAAGCAAGAAAAAGCGATGAAACTATGAACAAAAAAAAGACGGCAGATAAAACGAAGGGGCAAGAAAACGCGACAAAAAAGAAAAAAAAGTCAAAAAAACACAAAAACGATAAAAAAAAGAAAAGCTGCAAAAATTGCGATAACAAGACAAGAAAAAATTGACGAAAAGAACAACAAAAAAAAAGATGACTAAAAAGCACCAGAAAAGCGATAAAAGAAAACAAAAGAAAACCACAAAGGAAGAAAGCGAAAAAAAATGGTGACAAAAAAATCGCAAAAAAGGCGAAAAAAGGCGTAAAAAAGCATCAAGGAGGACCAAAAAAGCCAAAAAAAGGACGAAAAAAAGCGACAACAAAAAAAAAGGAGATAAAAAATGTAAATGCGTATACAAAAAAAAGAGGCGAAAAAGAAAACAACGATAAAAACGTAATCAAAAATCGCGACAAAAAAAGGAAAAAAAGCATAATACTTTTTTTGAAAAAAAAACGGCAAAACCAAGAAAGGAAAGTAACAAAAAAACGCAACAAAAAAGGCAACAGCAAATAGAAAAAGTAATCACCACATCATAATGTCGAAAAATAGCGATAAAAACGGTGACAAAAAAGTCTTAATAAAATGGCGACAAATGACGTAAAAATTACATCAAAAAAAGCAATAAAACAAAGAAAATAAAGTAAAAAAAGTTGCCACATAAAGGAGATGAAACTGAACACAAAAGAGACAAAAAAAAGTCCAAAAAAATTATACAAAAACATGGTAAAAAACGCGACAAAAAAGTGTCATAAAAAACGATAAAAAACGACAAAAAAACAACAAAGAGAAGTAACAAAAAAGTGAGAAAAGTTGCGATAAAACAAGGCAACCGAAAAATGGGGAAAAATGGACTAAAAAAGAAGCCAGAAAAGCGATAAGTAACAAATAACAAAATTGGAGGAAAAAGGAAACGAAAAACCATACTGAAATGGGGACAAAAACAGACGATTAGAATTGGAAGAAAAAATAAAATACATATAGGCAAGGTGAAAAAAAAATGAAAATCAAGGCGGCCAAATATGCGAAAAAAACATCAAAAGGACCAAAAAAAAAGACAAAAAAAAAAAAACAAAAAAGCGAGCGACAAAAACAAAAGAAAAAAAAGGGCGTTAGAAACTGAAAACATGGTTAAAATTGTACATTTTTGCAAGGAAATATGGATTTTACAATTATGGGGCGGAGCCTAATTTTAAACATGTTTTAAGTTCCATGTTGTGAAAAAAATACTATGTACATTAAGAAAAAAAGGCAAAATATAAACCCCGCCCACCCACCCCATCTCAATTGTGATGATTTTTTTTATTCCTAGACACTTAAAACACGTTTAAAATGGTGACAAAGATAGACATTTAACAACTGTTCAAATCATGTCAGGTCGAGTCAGGTTAAGTCAAGTCAGGTCATGTCTTGTCAGGTTGAATCAAGTGTCAAGATCAGGGTTAAAAACACAAGCAATAAAGTATGGAGACAACTCATTTCAATTTTGCAGGGATTTTAGTGACAATGATTCACTTTTCCTAGACATTTAATAACCGTTCAAGTCAGGTCGACCTAGCTCAAGACAAGTCAAGCCGATAAATTTTAATTTTTTTATGAAAAAACTTCAGGTCGTGTTAAGTCAGATCATATTAGGATTAAGAGACAGATAATAATAAATGAAAAAAATCCATTTTATTTTTTTAGGAGATTTTAGACCAAAATTATTTCATTTAGGTCAAGGCAGAGAAAATTAAAAACTCAAGAAATAATAACCGTTCAAGTCAGGTCAGGCTGAGTCAGGTTAGGTCAGATTAGGATTGAAAAGACAAACAATAATATGTATATGAAGAGAACCTATTTTAAATTTTCCTAGACATTTAACAAGGTCACGTCGGGTCACGTCCAGTTAAGTGAGATCAAGATTAAAAACGTAATCAATTATTTATAAAGGTTTTAACTTTTTAAAAGAGTTTAGATAACAACCGGTCAACTCAAGTCGGGTCAGAACTGGTCAGAAAAGAATAGAAAATAGGCAATAAAATATGTTATATGTAATTTTCCTACACATTTAATAATCGTTCAAATCAGGTCAGGTTGAGTCATATCAGGTCAGATCAGGATTAATATGACACAATAATAGGTGAAGACAATATTTTTTCGTTTTTTATGAAACAATAATTATCCAATTTCCCTAGACATTTACCCACTGGTCAGGTCATTTCATTTTAGTTTTTTTGGGATTTTAGTGACAATGATTCCTAGACATTTAATAACCATTCAAGTCAGGTCAGCTCGGGTCAGCTCAAGTCAAGTCAGGTTAGATTAGGATTAAAAAGACATACAATAACATGCAGACAATCCATTTGAACTTTTCAAGAGGTTTTAGGTAACATTTGTTTATTTTTTTCTGATATTTATCAACCGGTTGGGTTAGGTCAGGTTGGATCAGGTCAGATCACGGTTATAAAGGTACAATAAGATGTCAAGACGATACGATTTTAATTTTTTTAATGAAATTGTGGATAATTATTGAATTTTCTTTGACATTTAACAAACCGGTCAAGTCAGATCAGGTCGTAGCAAGTCATGGAGATTTTACATCAAAATTGTTTAATTTTTTTTGATACTTAATAACAGGTTAGTTCAAGTTGGGTCAGGTCAGGTTATAAAAAATTGAAAACCCAGGAAATAATGTATAAAGACTATTCATTTTGATTTTTCGGTAAATTTTAAATAGCAATGTTCGTTTTTCTCAGACATTTAAAAACCGTTCAAGTAAGGTCAGGTCAAGTCAGCTTAAGTCAAGTCAGATCAGGTTGTATCAAGTCAAGTCAGATCAGGTGGTGTCAAGTCAAGTCAGATCAGTATTAAAAGACATACAATAACATGAAGACAACAAATTTGAAATTTTCAACAGGTTCTAGATAACATTGGTTTGATTTTTCCGGACATTTAAAAACCGGTTGGGTTAGATAAGGTTGGATCAAGTCAGCTTTTCTAGACATTTAACAATTGCTCAGCTCAGGTCAGATCAAGTTAAGCCAGATCAGTACTAAAAACGAAATCAATGATATATAAGTAAGAAGCTCCGTTTTCTTTGTTGTCGCACGTTTATCGTATTTTTATCCCCTTTTTGTAGTCCTTGTTTCACTTTTTTGTCACCTTTACTGTCCACTTTTTTATTTTCATAGTAATTTAATAATTAGTCAGGTCAGATCATATTAGGTCAGGGTAGATATTAATAAAAAACTCAGGAAATAATATATGAAGACATTTCATTTTTTTTTCGGAGATTTTTGATAGAACTGATTTAATTTTCCTAGATATTTGATGTGTTCAAGTCAGGTCAGGTCAAATTAGGTTTAAAAAGAGACAACAATACATGAACACAGTTCGTTTTAATTTTTAATGCGATTTTAAATAAAAATGATTCAATTTTCCTTGAGATTTAAGAACCGTTCAAGTCAGGTCAGGTCAAGTTAGGTTAGAACAAGATTAGAAAGAATATATGAAGAGAACCCATTTTAATAATTAATAATGCAATTTAGGGTAAAGATATTAAATTTTCCTAGACATTTAACATTTGGTCAGGTCAGGTCAAGGCAGATATCCCTAAAGAAGTCTGGAAATAATATTTGAAGATAATTTTTTTTGAGATTTTTGATAAAATTGACTTAATTTTCTTAGACATTTAATAAACATTCAAGTCAGGTCAGATCAAATCATGATCAAAAAGACAGATAATAATATATGAACACAATTTGTTGCAAATTTAATGCGATTTTAAATAAGAAAGGTTCAATTTTCGTTGACATTTAATAACTGCTCAGGTCAGGTAAGGTCAGATCAAGTCAGAAAAGAATAAAAAGACGGGAAATAATATATGGGGGCAAATAATTTTAGTGTTTTCGTAGTTTTTAGAAGACAATTATTCACTTTCCCTAGACATTTAATAGTCATTTAAGTCAGGTCAGGCCGTGTCAAGTCAGGTCATATCAGGTTTGAAAAGCCAGTCAATAATAAATGAAAACAATCCATTATAATTTTTTAGGAGATTTTAGAGCAAAATTGTTTAGTTTTGTTTCGGTTTTTAATAACAGTAAAGAATTAAAGAGTCAGGAAATAGTATCTGAAGACAGTTTATTTTAGTAGTTTCGGGGATTTTACATGACAATTCACTCTTCCTGACGTTTATTAACCTTTCAAGTCACGTCAAGCCAAGTCAGGTCAGATCAGGATTAAAATGACATACATGAAGACAATCCTCCTGAATATTTTCAGAGATTTTAGATAACAATGGTTTGACTTTCCGTGACATTTAAAGACCGGTTGGGTCAGGTCAAGTTGGCAGGTCCGGTCAGGATTAAAAAGACAATCCATTTTAATTTTTAGGAGATTTTATATCACAATGGTTTAATTTTATTTCACATTTAGTTATTTAGTTAGAGGTTCTAAAATCTCAACAATCTCTAAAATTCTACAACTTTAGAATCTGAAGTCATCTGAACAATAGCAAAAAGTTGTTGTTGTTCTGACGTTTTGAAATTTCTATAAGTTCTAAAATTTCTTGAATTCATTAAATTTTAAAATTTCTAAGATTGTCTGAACATATAATACTTACTATAGAATCTTTTGACTTGACTTAACCTGAACTGACTTGATCTGACCTGATCAGACCTAACATGACCACACTTAACCTGACCAACCCATATCCTGACATAACTTGGTCTGACTTGCACTGACTTACCATGACCTGGTTGAGAATTATTCTAGGAGGTTTAAGTTCGGTGAAATTCGACAATTTCTAAAATTCTATAAATTTTAGAATGTCAACAATATCCAAAATTCTAGATTGTCTATGTTTTAAAGACTTTGAGCAAAAAATTTGCAACATATTGCGACTTTCTGAGATTTCTAAAATCTCTCTAAATTCCAAAATTTCCACAATTTCCAGAATCTTGATTTTTCTTCTTTTTTCGAAATTTAACAGCAGGTCAGGTGAGGTCATAAATAGATGGCAGAAGAGGTTGATAATATCAATAAATTTTTGTTTAATAAATTTGCTTATTGTTGTTTAAAAATATAAATATGTACAGTCACCTTTTGCCATGTTTCTGAATTCAATCAATGTATTAAAATAAACCTTTAAAAAAAGTTAAATCAAAATCTCATCTGTTTCTGAGAATTATTCGGTTTTAGCGATTTTTAAGCTTCATTGATTCAGTGATGGCATGGCTAACTTCACAAAGGGGAAAAAGAAACGGATCATTAATGAGCCGTTCCCAAGATGTAAGGAAATAATAATAATTCTTAACGTTTATTGTTGTAGAGCTGTCAATATAGTCCTTGAGGACACGAAAACTGTTAATAATTAATTTTAAGTTTGATAAACTACAAAGTGAACGTCAATTTATGACAAAAAGGACAATATTGCTTTAAAAATAACGAACTGAATGCACTACTCTTAATTTACCCCAACCCGCATTACAAACTCTTAATTCCACACACACTCCAGTAACTCGTGCTCAAGAAAATGCTCACTTACCAAACTGGACTCGTCCGGGGAAGCTAAACTAAGCAATAAGACGCTTACGCCTACGTTGACGGTGTCTGAAAATAAAGCATGTCTTATAATAAAGGCAAAGACGTCGGAAAGTTGAGATTCTACATTTTGCATTGTGCAGAAACGTAATACTCACGAAAAGACTAAATCTAATTTTAGAAGGTACAAGTGAGATTAAATTTTCTCGGACCTTTCTTTGGCCGTCCTATTATGCTATCGCTATTATTTCTCACTTTCATGTGAAGACGTGCTCAAGAATACGAACGTGGCTACATTCTAGAACTACAATGTTGTATCATACTTATTTTCTTGTTCGTTCATAATTTTATGTTTCAAGGTTGAAATGATCATATTTTTTCTGTTGTTAGTTTATAATTTGAAAATTACCGTTAGTGAGAAAATCTGGTTTTATCTGCTTTAAATCAGAGTCATTCGTAGTACAAGCAAATAAAGGTCTTATCCATCACTGAGTGACAACATCTCTTTATTCACGTGTGAAGAAAGGAGATGAGAGACAATGCTTTATTTACATGACATAGTGCATGCAGTAACATTTAAATATTACATGCAGAGAACAATCGTGCAACATTTTGTTGAGTGTCTTACATTATTTACAACTGTGAAAATGTATATAAAAATTTTTGACGTTTTAAGTAACAATTTTGCACTCAGTTTTATTTTAGCAACTTTTCGATTTAGTAACAGAAAACCAAGCAAAATTTTCATTAGCAGATACTCGTTACGCAAAGAGCGAATTTTAAAATCTAAATCTAGCATCTATATTATATTAACATAAAAATAAAAATGGTCACATCTGGAATCACCGGTTCATGTAGAAACAGCTGCGGAAACCTAAACAACTATCTAATCTACAAAAATACAGTGAATGATATAAGGGGTCAACAACATTCAACATCAAGAAGAAATGTAAGGATGAATGCAAGGCACAAAAAGCATCCAAAATGTTCAACGGAACTACAGAGTTAGGACTTCTACTTTATCAAAATTTGATATACAGGGCATACGCTAGGCGATCCAGAAAAAGTACACTGGAACACCTTCAAAACGCAACAAAAAAGGGTCAAGAAATAGAACGTTTTTCGGTCAGTCAGCATGCCATAACAAATCGCCATGTTTTATCAAATAGAGAATTGACTATTTCATGAATTAGTTAGAAAGCGACGTTAATAACAACAACCGTTTCATCTACTTGTTTGCGCCGACTATTTTTAAACCTTGGCAACAAAGTTCGACAATTAATTTAATTAAGAAAGTTTGTCTACAGTTAATTTTAGCTACCAGTACAAGTGTTAACTAAGAAAAATAGAATCGATTAGGAGCATATTTGTAAAGTGGCTGAGAACCCGACTGTGTACACACTTGTCTGAAGGTTAATTTTGCCCTAACACGGCAAGGGATCCCAATTTCAATTGTCTAATGGATTATCGATTAACTTCTTAAGAGATTGCTATTAAAATTTAGTCGGCGCTTGGGTTGAATCCAATATTAGCCATCCGACAATGTGGACCTAGCCTTGAAACAAAATTAGAAAAAGTCGTTGTTGCCACACAGAAATAGGTAACCGAATAAATTAAATTGCGCGACGATGATACTTAATGGATGGTTGTTAATATTCGTCGTACGTCAGTGCGTCTGATGGATAGCGATGTAAGACGATCGACCGTCGGATACCCTGCATAACATGACTAAAGTAGAGTCCGCCGAATAATGATCGCAGTTCACTATTTCGTAGACTCTACTTTCAAAGAGCTCTGTAGTTCTTTAACTAAAGCGGAGGATATAGAAAAATAGAATTTGAGTGTGTTTTCTAACGGTGATAGGAACAAATAACGGACCACGCTGTTTGCTGCTTGACGGGATGTTGTGTATTTCAAAGTTGGCATCCTCGGGTGACTGCAGACCACAGCAGAAGTCCGCATCTGTAACAGCAACAGCCACATGACAAATGTGCAATGTTGGTATCTGACTTAGATTCTGAGCGGACGCATTTTAATTTAAAAGTATGGTTTATATTTCGATTATTTTCAGGGTGTATGGTGAGTGATACGGACCCGTAAATAATCTACTTAAATCAGACGTGTTATTTATTATCCTTGCAACGTCGAAGACGTCAACAGGATATCGTGTTCTGGAAGGAAAGTAGCGAGCTGAAATTTTCAAAGTTGTAGGGATAATAACGTCTTGTTTTTTTAAGTTTGACAAAGACTTTTGCATAGGGACAGAAATAAACCATTATTTAATACATTTGTGAGTTTAAGACACTTCTAAAAAATTGTGGATGTTGAAAAACACAGTTAATAAAAAATACAGACGAAACTAAGAGGCGGTTCTTATGATGATGGATATAAAATTATCGTTATTATGCTTATAGGAGAGATAAAGATACATAAACTTGAGTCAGAAAAAAGAATCCGTGAAAACATTAGCGAACAACATAGTGAACAATAAAAGGAATTTTTGATTACAAAAATTGTGAAAAGTATGTAAAAAGCAGAACAGCGGAAAAACAATGACAAACAAAATGTAAATTTATTGTTTAAACGAACAAATACAGAAAAAACAAGGAAAAGTTCACGAATTACACAGGAATTTTTTCCACAGAGTTAGGTAATGATTCGAATTTTTTTTGACATGTAGATGTCGTTTAGAACTATTTTTGGAAATATTTCAACATAATTTTAACCACTCTGATGCGCCAAATTGATATTTAATTTGTCATTGAAAATATGAAAAAATTGTTAAGAAAGGTTATTCAGAATAAAAAAAATCTTTGTAAGTTTAAAATTAATTTTTTATTTGACAAAATAAATGATCATTAGTAACAAATTTAACGAGATAATCAAAAACAAATTTTGTGAAACGGGCCTGTAACTTTTTGTTTTTTCGCTGTTTTTGTCATCTTTTTTTTTTATCCTCTTTCGGTTGAGTTTTTTGGTTACTTTTTTCATTTTTTAATAGCCTTTTTTTTAATCGTTTTTATTGTTTTCTTTTTGTATGCTTTGCGTTTATTGGTTTTTATTTTATTTTTTTTTTATAGGATATTTGTTTGCTTTTATATCGCTTTATGGGTCGTTTTTCTAGTGTTTTTATGGCATTTTTTTCCTTCTTTTTTTGATATTTTTATACAGCTTTTTTTGATATTTTTTGTGGACTTTTTTAAATCTTTTTTGTTGCATTTTTGCAACCATTTTATGGCTTTTTGTTGTCTTTTTTCTGTCTTTTTTAATTCTCGTTTGTGTCTCCTACTTTACCATTTTTTCCCCCTTTTATACCTTTTTTGCACACTTTTTTCGCCATTGTTATTTTGTGTTTTTTGGCCCCTTTTTCTTTCTCCTTTTTGCCTTCTCGTTTCCCGTCTTCTTTTTATGTGTCCACTTTTTATCTCCTGATTCTTTTTCGCTCTATTTTTGCCGAATTTTTATTGCTTTTTTTATCTTCTTTTTTATGGCTTTTTTGAAATTGTTTTGTGGACTTTCTTTAACATTTGTTAATCGTTTTTGTTCTGCTTTTTTGTCTTCTTTATCATTGGTATTCGTCCTCTTGTTTATCTTTCTTTGGTCATTTTTCCCCATTTTTTTTTGTTGTATTTGTTGGGCTCTATTTTATCGTCTTTCTATCATATTTTTCATCCCGCTTTCTTTTCGTTTTTTTATACCCTTATTACCCTCAATTTTGATCTCCTGTTGTTGTTTCTTTTCGCTATCTTTTGACGATTTTTTGTCGTATTTGTTTGCTTTCCTGTGGCTTTTTTGATTGATTTCTTTACTGCTTTTACATCGCATTTTTTCTTCCTTTTGACCTTTTTGTAGTTTTTTTGCCGTCTTTGTGGACATTTTCTAACCTCTGTTGCATTTCTTGCTCCTTTTTTTATGTCCCGTTTGTCACCTTTTCGCCGCTCTCTTTTTGTAGCGTATTTTTCATTCTCTTGTTTTAATACCATTTTATTATGCCAGTTTTTTTTATCTCCTTTTGTAGTTTCTTTTTATGCTCTTTTAGAGTTTTTTGCTTTTTCGGTACGATTTTTGCCCAGGTTTTTATCGATTTTTTTCTTTATATTTTTTTGCCACTGTTTTTGTGATTTTTTCCACTCTTTCTTTGACACCTTTTTTAATAGTTTTTCCCATTTGCTTTTTTTTATCGTGTTTTTGGTCCTCTTTTTTATCATAATTTTTCCCGTCTTCTTTTTGTCCCACATTTTTCGTCCTCTTTTTTTCATACCCTTTTATTGTGTTAATTTTTTATTATGTCATTTGCTCTAATCTTTTTTGATGTATTTTTTTGACTTTTTGTGGCTTTATTTTGTGTTTTTTCTGTCTCCTGTAAATCACGTTTTTGCCCCCTATTTTATCGTTTTTTCCGCATTCTTGTCACCTTTTTTCGCCATTTTTGCCATTTTTTTCCATTTCCTTTTTGTCGCGTATTTAACGTCTTCTTTTTAATACCGTTTTAAAATGTTATCTTATTTCTCCTGTCGTTTCGTTTTGCGTTCTTTTGTCGCTTTTTTATAGGTTTTTTTTGTGCTTTTACATTTTTTAATCATTTTTTCTGTTTCTATTTTTTTTTTGTGGCGGTTTTTTTCCTTTCTTTACCATTGGTTTTCGTCCTTTTTTTTATGTTGCATTTTTTTAACGCCTTTTGTCATATTATTTCATCCTGCCTTCTTTTCGTTACGCATTTTTCGTCTTTTTTATACCCTTTTATTATTCCCATTTTTTTGTCTATTGTTCTTGTTCTTCCATGATTTTTTTTGTCGTATTTTTTGCTTTTTTATGGCTTTTTGGGTTGATTTCTTTAGTGCTTTTGTGTCGCATTTTTTCTTCTTTTTGAGACTTTTGTAGCATTTTTTTGCCGTTTGTGTGGCTTTTTTCAAATTTTTTTTGTTACATTTTTGTAACCTTTTGATGGTTTTATTTTGCCTTTTTTCTGCCTACTTTATGTCTCGTTTTCGTCCTTTTTTTGATCGCGTTTTATCCACATTCTTGTCACTTTTTCTTATCCACTTTTCTCTTCTTTGTTATGTCGTATTTTTGGTTCCTTTTTTTTGCTCCTGCTTGTCACATTTTCCCCATCCTTCCTTTTCCTTCTTATTCATCGTTTTTGCGGTCGATTTTTTACCCGGATTTTATGGAATTTTTATATCTTTTTTTATAGCTTTTTTACCGCTGTTTTGTGACTTTTTCTAAACTTTTTTGACACCTTTTTTTAATAGGTTTTTTGGCTCGTTTTTTGTCCTTTATTTTATCATCATTTGTGATTCTTTTTTCTTACCTTTTTTTTCGTCCCGCATTTTTCGTCTTCTTTTTTTATATCTTTTCATTATTATGGCATTTTTTGCCATTTTTGTGCAGTTTCTCTAAGCTTTTTTCATGGATTTTTGGGACTTTTATGGCCTTATTTTGTGTTTTTTCTATCACGCTTTTGTTCCCTACTGCATCGTTTTTTCTACATTCTTGTCACCCTTTTCCACTCACTTATTTCCCGTTTTTGTTATGTTGCTTTTGCCAATTCTTTTTCTTATCTCCTTTTTGCCATCTTTTTTTTTCATTTTCTTTTTGTCGCGTATTTAGCGTCTTTTTTTAATACCATTTTAAAATACCTTTTTTTATCTCCTCCTGCCGTTTCTTTTTGCTTTTTTTTGTCGCTTGTTTAGCGTTTTTATATCTTTTTTTAGCATTTTTTGCCACTGTTTTATGGATTTTTGTAACATTTTTAGTCGGTTTTTCTGTTTTTTTGTCTGTTTTTTTGTCGTGTTTTATGTCCTCTTCTTTATCATTGGTTTTCGTCCTTTATGTTATGTTTCTTTGACGATTTATTCACATTTTTACTTCTCCAACGTAAACGAAGTAAGTATTGTAATCGAGTCCGTCGATCGAGCCTCTACTTTTACGTTTTTTCGATCTTTCATGAACCCTACAGTACGAAGAAATAGGTCTTCCGTTTCCGTCTGTCTGTTTGTCTGTCCGTTTGTCCGTCTGTCGGTCTGTCCGCCTGTCCGCCTGTCCGTCTGCCCGTCTGTCCGTCTGTCCGTCTGTCCGTCTGGCGTCACGGATTTTTATTAGACAGATAATCTCCGAAAGTACTGGGGTGATTGTTGGCAATTTTTTTTATGTTCGGTTTGTTGATCTCTATTTTATCGCCTTTTGTCATATTATTTTTACCCGTTTTCTGTTCGTTTCTTTTCGTTCCGCAGTTTTCATCTTTTTATGTCCCTTTATTATCCTCATTTTTTATCTCCTGTTGTTGCTTCTTTTCGCTATCTTTTGACGATTTTTTTCGTATTTGTTTGCTTTTCTGTGACTTTTTGTATCGCTTGTTTCTACTTTTTGCTGTTTTTGTAGGACTTTTTGCCATTTTTGTGCACTTTTTTAACCCTTTTTATTGCATTTTTGTAAGCATTTTATGGATTTTTTCTGTCTCCTTTGTGTCTCGTTTTTGTCCCTTTTTGATCGCTTTTTATCCAGTTTCTTGTTACCTCTTCTTGTCTACATTTTTTGCCTTTGTTATTTGTCCCTTTTTTATCTCCCGTTTGTCAATTTTTCCAGCCTTCTTTTTGTGGCGTATTTTTCTCTTTTTTTAATACAATTTTATTGTGCCCATTTTTTATCTGCTCTTGTCGTTTCTTTTTCTGTTCTTTTGTCCCTTTTTAATAGGTTTTGGCCAAGTTTTTATCGCTTTTTTATCTTCTTCTTATAGCATTTATTACCACTGTTTTCGAGACTTTTTCTAACCTTTTTTTTGACACTTTTTTTTTAAATAGGTTTTTTGTTTTCTTTTTTTGTCGTGTTTTTTGTTCTGTTCTTGATCATCATTTTTCCTCTCTTTTTTGTTACCATTCTTTGGCCATTTTTTTTACACTTTTAAAATTGTATTGTTTTTATCTTATTTTTTACCGCATTCTTTTCATCCCGCATTTTTCGTC